ATTTTTAAGAATATTGAGAGGTGTTTTACCTGTGTTAAGAACTGGTGCAGTTGTGGATGAGACTGTGGGTTGAGTGTTGCCTCAAACATCGGCATGAACAAGTTCTCTAGTACCTCCTCAAAGTTCTGCACTAAATTCTTAGACCTATAGACATCACTATAGAGATAACATGATAAATTAATTACAGCAAGTCCCGTAGTTAATGAATGTTTTTAATATCTATTGGGAATTAAGGGTAAAGTAGTGTTAGTTCATTCATCTCTTTCCTCAGGAATCTCAGGTTAGATTCCTGAACTCAGCATCACATTTGAGTAGAGTCTGTTTATAGGTACATTTCTCCCTTTATTCAAGGGTTCTCCAGTTTTTATCCTTCTGCAAAACCCAACATGCTAAATTTCAATATCTGAACTGTAAATTAGCCATACCCTGACTTTAATCAGCCCAGAGGTTGTTTTAGGGTTTGATCTGTGAGGTAGCTGTGCCCTGATTTTGATCAGCCAAGAGGTTGTTTCAGGGTTTGACCTGTGACTTAGCCATGCCCTGGCCTTTTCAGGGTATTGCTAAAAAAATGAGGGAATTTTCACCCCCTGAAGTAAGAAAATCACATAAATGGATAGCTCAAATCAACTTACTAAAGCCTTGGAACTTGAATAAGCCAGCGTACATTCTGGGAGTATACTTTATGTTCTACAGCCCAATTGGCCAAGTTGTCCCATTCATCCCTAGAACGTCCATATATTGAAATACGATATTCTGCATTCTGGTACTTGCTCTCCTCAAGGTCTGCAAATACTTCTTTCAATAGYTGGGCAAAGTACTTTCCATTGATGTGGTTTTGCGTTTTTAAGAATATCTCTCTCAGTTGACTTTCACCTTAAAAAAAAMAAATCTTAATTCAAAATCTTTATTTTTTTGAAAGTTGCAATGCAAATCATTAGTTCTAAGTGGCTATATATTGCTTAATGTTATCRTTATTTGGTTTTAGTAAAATATCACAGGTGATTATCAAAAAACCAGCACACTGATTCATTAAAAACTTCCCATTATTTATTTATTTTTTTACAGGTGATTATAGCATTTAGACAAGATGGCTGCTAGCTGGTTTGTCGAATATTTTCCGTTGAAATGCTTATTCATTTCCATCTTTCGAATAATCACCTATAATAAAGCTACAAGAATGGGTAGATGATTGAAAAATTGTGAATGGGATAAAAGATAGAAAAAATATATCTGTCTGTCCATCTGTCACCCTATCCTTCCATCCCTACTACCCTCTAATAAGTATATGTAATAGGACTCCATGCTCTTAATTGGACGAGGAAAATTCTGAGGACTGACAAAATTGGATGAGGCAATAGGCCGAGTCCAATTTGGCAGTCAGAGGAATTTTTTGAGTCTAATTATTTCTTGATTGGGGAACATGAAATCCCATTACCTATTAATTATATAGCTGCCTAATTAATCCCATATCAACAAGACCTGTCCAATTAAGAAAATAATTGGACAGTTACCTATATGGGATTAATGAGAAGCTGTATAATTATTAGATTAATTCCTATTAATTCACCCATGCTTTTGCTAAATCCATCCATCCCATTTCATTTCTTTCAACTAGTTGACCAGAAGCAGGAAAAAACCAATGTTCACATTCATGTTGAGCATGTTCGACAAAGCATRTGATACAAAATATTGCAATATTACAAAAGTACAAATGCAGGTATGTGGAGTGCTGATGATACTCACCRACAGGATTGTACTTAGAGTTAAACTTGTCAAAACGATGGAATGTGTTACTGTCCTGTGAATAGGGAGAAGGATAGGAACAATTGGTGCTGTGATCGACATGATTGCAATAGTGACTGACTGTCAGCATAGATGCACAAGTGAACTGAAGTAAATTTTATATGAGTGGAGGAAAAAGCACTGCAACAAATAGCACTGCAACAAATTTGTCATTGGGTAACATTTGGGTCTTACAATTAAAGGTTAACAATCAGCCAATCAGACAAGCCCATTTGCTTCCAAGTCAGTAAATAAAATTTCCCACTAATACAAAATTTACTCTATCTTGAAAAAATCAAAGTGTGTGGATGCAGTTATGTGAATGAACAGCTTTCTACACTAAAAGCATGTTTCATTGCACTCACTACACAACTGCTCCCGTCTAGAGTCATACATCTTTTGTTCCAGCTCATCGTCTGCATTCAGATCTGGCACTTTCTGGACTCACAGTTTAACAAAAAAGAAAACAAACTAAGGTTTGAAAATCTCTTTTTTTTTTCTACAAAAAAAACATAACCTACAATTTAGAATACAGTAATAGAGAGTTTTAGATTTAAGTTCAYGGCAAACATGAAATGTCAGTTGACCATTAAAAAATATTTTAAATATCTTAAAAAGAATCACAAAAACGTCCAAGTAGTAGAAAAACAAAGAATRTTTGTCTTTGGTGAGAAGGTTTGTAAAAGGTAAAGCAAAATACAAGAAAACGATGAAAACGTGGTCACGTTTGCCGTTTGCGGGGAGAAAAAAAGTCAATCTAAAACTCTCTAACAACCAATTTGTTAATTACGATAAACTGCCATGATTTAAAAAAAAATATTATAGATAATAATCGATCATTGTTTTTTGCCACCAAAATCCCCCTCCTCCCCCCTCCAAACCAAGTAAAATTTACTTGAAACTCAAAATTATGGGTAAGCATCTCCAAGAAAGTAAAATATTAGATTCTCTTCTGAAAAATACACTTCATCTATGGTAGATATAATAATATTCTTTTGACTCCAAAATGAGTATTTCTCTTTCACCAAAAAAACTAATTTCCCTCCCCTCCCCCCAAGAATGACTGAAGGTCTTATTTACCGCATGGACGTCCAGCGTATCCACACTCAAGTCATATGGYGTCAAGTTCAGCATGGCAAACACCTAGGAAAAGTAAATAATTTCTCAACCACTGTATAGAAAAGCCTTAAAACAAATGCTTCATAATGCCAGTAGTGTCATTAGGTTGCTCGTAGGTAATAGTCAGGGTGGCGCAGGGGTTACGCATGATTTAGGCTAAAAGTGCATGATATGTGAATATAGCAAAACGTAGAAGATGATTTGTGAATTCCAGGTTTAGTGTTATGCATGAAATTCTTCTCTTAAATTGTGCATGATTCGTAAATGATTAATTATTAGATGTCGTGGAAAGTTAAAATCCAGTTAAAATTACGTTAAAATTTGTGATCCATTAATTTGCCTCAAAATTATCAATGATGCATTAATTTTAGAAATATTGATGCATGAAATGTGATGGCGACTCCCCCTGTACCACCCTGGCTGATAGGCYAGTTATGCGAAAAGGTGGCACATAGATTAGCAGATAATATTAATAAGAGAGCATTCATTCACCACCATCCTAATCATGATTGCATGGAACTAGGAGTCTAGGGTTTGATTCCTGGACTGTGCATCACATTTGAGTAGAGTCTGTCAGCACTTTTTACAGTATCCAGGATTCCTGTATTTTCTCTCTCTCTGCAAAACTTAACAACTTAAATTCCAATTTCGATATGTGAGTTAGCTGTGCTCTGACTTTCAGAAGTTGTTTCAGGGTATCAATACAATTTGAAGGTTTGTTTGAAAYGTAGGTAGAGGAAAATATTCCTAATATTCCTAACAGGCTGCATGTTATTACTGAAATTTTTTAGTACATACTTCTCTTAATGTTGCCACTTTGCCGTCGATCTTGATGCAAGGAACATCACCTTCAGTCTTCATCTTCTTCTTTATGAACCTCAACAGATGCTTCTGGTTCATGCAGGATGCAGCATGCACGTGAGTGTCTACCTGAAGATAGAAAATGGAGTTGAATTAGAAAATAAATCATAATAATAAACAGCAAGTATTATGTAGTGCTAGCTGACTGGTCTTTAGCTTTGATTTATAAACACAGTTGATCAGTCTATCTTCATGTCATCATCATCAGCAGCATCATCACCACCCACTTATTACCAACATCCAAAGCATCACTGTCATTACTTGTAGCATCTACATCACAGACAACACCATTATCATTACCATCAATGTTGTCACAAACTTCTTCATCATCGCCATCATTATAACAGTAATCTAGAGCAAGATAAAAAGACAAGCCTTCTTACCTTTCTAACATTATAGAAATCCCTATGTGGTACCTCCTTCATGGCTGCAATCTCCTTCAAATCATTGAGCAAAGCATGAAGGTTGTATTTAGACTCTAGATACTTCAGGCGACGGTAGGAAAAAGATTTGCTGGTGAATAAAGAATGGGTATAAGATTACGTCATTAAGTTACAGGGGCATGACACAAACAAATCGTGCCTCCCTCCCCTTGCCTCCCAAAGATTGAATTGGAATTTAGTGTGTTTAGAATTCGCTGTGAGCACAGTTTCTTGTCTCTCTCCCTTCTTTAGGTGGGGAGGGAGAATGCTGAGCCCGTCAGCTTAGAGTCTGTCATTTTTAATTTCTTTTTTCTTTTTCGTTGTTAAAACTTAAGCGTGATGAAAGCCTCTAAATAAAATAAATTGAAAATAGACAGTCTTGCCTAGTTACTGCATATATGTGCAACAAAAGTACTCTTCTATATCAGCAGAGTCTATTTTCCTCCTCAATAATACCAAAGAAAATAGACTCTAATAGTATGCAAGTTTTGATAACTTTTTTTGAGAAATATTTATAGTATGTTAATGTATACCATGACTTACATAGGTCCATGGGTCGACAAAGCAAATAAAACATTTTGATCGTCAAAGAACTCTTGAAGATCAGGAAAGGGATGAATGACCTCACACTTCTTCTCACTACCGTCTGAATTACCGCTGGACATCACTTGTATGACACCATCAACCATCTTCACCTTGTAGCCACAGTCACCAGGGATTTCCTGGTCAAATGGAGAGTGACTGGAATAATTATAGAACTCAAGATCTAGAAAAAGAGAAGAAAAGTTAACAAATGGAGTGGCTTTTTCCATGCTCCTGGGCTTTACAGAATTTGATAAAGTGAAGACAAAATAGTGATTGGATGGACTGGATGACTTGAGAGAGGCATAGCTATAGCTCTTTATCTTGCATTTTTCTTATTTTAATACTATATTTTTATATCATTATCATTATACTGGACATATACTTGTGCTTTTATATCTGTATATGCATGCAGTATGTATATATATATATATATATATACACAGCCATTTGCAAAAATTATGGCCGCTTCCAATATATATACAAGTGTATCAAAAGCATATCAAATGTTATGGGATATCCTCCATTATATTTTTTTCGAGTTGTCTATCATTAGGGCTTTCTGAAAAAAATATCAAGAAAGATATCCCGCCCTGTCTGATATACTTTCGATATACTTGTATTTATATTTGAAACGGCCATAATTTTTGCAAATGGCTGTATATATATATATATATACAGAATATATTTACATATGTGTATGACGCTACATATATGTAATTTGTGTGCATGTATATGTACATGTTTCATGTGCGCATTGTGTGTGTGCGCTAACGTGTGTGTATATTTCTCAGTATTAGTACATATTCATAGATATTAATTTTGTTTTTAATTATCTTGCTGTAAAGTACATGACTGTTTTGTACAAAATTTGCTGAAAACTTGGCAAATAAAGAAGTTTAAGTGGTTGAAACAGTAACATGGTAAATGAGAAGTCATACAAACCTCTTTTGGGTGGAGGTTTAGGCTTGTCCATATTTCGCGAAGCCATAAACTTATCTAAGTTGTAGTCTTCATGTACAGAATTTAATGACTCAGCTAATGTAGGGCAGTAACTCTGCATACTTAATACCATGTACTTAAAACGTATGAAAAGGGCTTCAACAAGTAGCTTGGAAGCTTGTTTCAGTTCATCTATTGGAACCTACAAAACAGCATGAAAATAGTTAGTCATTAATTTTTGTATTTTCCAGATTTGACCTTTCTATAATCTTTGCACAGCAGCAGGATAATTTATTTTTTTCAACCACAGATTTGATGAGCGTGATCAAGTAGGTGTGCATTCTGAAGTAGCATTTTCTTAGTACCTAAAGTTTCACTTTGTACTGCAGGAATAAATTAAATGCAAGACCAAAAAAAAGAGGCAGATCAGATATGATAACAAAGGAATGCTTACCAGCAGGGAAATTAACATTATAAACMATTAAAAAATGTCTAAACAACGACTGATAAATTTAAGAATTGATTAAAAAGCTTACATCTGAGAGGAATATATTAATTACTTTAGGCCAACAAGATTAAATCAGTTCTGCTAATCCTGAAAATTTGTCTGGCAGCAAACTTGTACTCACCCCGCTGCTATTCTCTCCAGAAATTGATAATCTTTGATAAAAGATTGGTAACTGTTCATGACTGCCGTCTGTAGAAGAGAACATTTTTTCATCTAAGGTAGTCGTAGAGCCTGCTCGCATGATTCTCGATTGTTGCCTTTCCAAGTCAATCTCATCTCGTCTCATTTCGCTCTGTCCTATAGGATGCTCAGGGATTTCAAACGGATGACACCACAAGTCATCTCTCTTGTGTGAATCCCTAGACCTAGCACCAGCTTCGTCTCTGAGCACTTCCAAGGTCTCTTGTAGTGTCGAAAAAACGTCATGTTTCTTGTTCTTGGCTGTCTTCATATTGGGACGATTTTGGAACTCGCTGGATAGCAACGTATGGCGCCTCAATGTCTCTGGGGGAAAAGAAAACAGATCTTCACAATCTTTTCCTTCTGGGACGCTCTGGGTTCGTTCTCGCTGTCTATGAAGCATTGGTCTCGCAGAAGACCTACTTCCCGTCTTTTCCGCCATAACGTTGAACTTGAGTTCGTACAACTTTCACTCTCCAAACCTCGATCAAGTACTTTAGAAGGTAAATATAACAATGATTCCTATTGGTTGATCTAGTAACCCCCGTCGTGTTTACACAATGGTGTAAACCAGTGCATAAACTAATGTCATCAGATCAATAAAACAAAAGTCTTTATTTATCCCTTGAGTAATTTTAAACCCTAGGTCTTAATACTAAAATCCTTTTCAATAATGAAAAGGGATAAAAAGAACTAAGCTTTCTGAGCGGTTTTACAGACGAGTAGCTTGATCCTTTTTGCCCAAGCACCCAGCTGCTTTTGTCGATCAAAAGTTGTGTGTATTTAACAAAAAATATCTAACCAATGAACCAAATTTTCCTGACAAAATACAACTTAAATTCAATAGAAACGTTTACCTATCATTATATTAGAGAAATAGGTTGTAAATCTGACATCTCTTGGGAAGAAAATGGCTTAAGTGTTCGGCCTCCTTTTGTGAAAGGTTAGCCATTAGCATGAAGTTTTTTGTCTACCACACGACAATTATTGTGAAATGTTTTGTGGTATTAGATAACTAACAAGAAAAACATGAGGGTTTTTTCATAAATGGTATATCAAAACGTTATCCTATTCGCCCAAGCTCAGTATCAAGTGAATAAATTGCTCAGAATTTGTGTTGTTATGCAAGCCCTGAACTACGATTTTTTTAAAAAGCAAAACGGAGATTTTCAGTTCTTCTCACCTTCTAAATCGTTCTCTGAACCCGTAGGACTTGTGTTAGAGTTCTCCATTTCTATCCAATATGGATAAATTTAGGAAAATTTAATATAAAACAACCAGTTATTTCACCACCGACAAGACAAAAATAAATGGCGAGTACGTGAGTGAGGTGGTCATCGAGTAGGGAGCCTCGTTATGGATATTCTACCGGAAATGGAAAATGCCTGTCTGTCATCACGAAATCACTCTATATCCTCATTAAGAAAGAATAAAATAGATAATATAAGGAATAATATAATTTTGAAAATACTTWAAAATCATTAGAAGATAATATACTGTATGCACCTGTGCGCATTGGTCTCAGCGTCTAGCTTTTGTTGGGGGTTATAAGACACGTAACGCTTTTCCGCTCAGTTGAATCTGGTTGAATAACTTTGCGTCACGCGAATAAAACTATTTTTAACTATTTTTACTACTACAGCTATGGACAAAATAATATCAGGTTTAGAAATAGACCAGTTTCGAATTCCAAATTACCGCGGTGTTCCTTGATTACAGACTCATTTGCACAGGGTTAGCCTCGTATCAGTGTTTAAATATTCACAAATACCAACGGTAAAGTAAAGAATGCACAACTTCAACAATATGAACACTTTGAAACTCGACGGACCTTGACTGGAACACGTGAATATTCTGCACAAACTCGAGGCTAACCCCGTACAAGCCTGTAATCAAGAAACACAGCGGTAATTTGGAATTCGAAACGGGTCTATTCACTCACTATTATATATTCTTAATAATAAAATACTTTACGCAAAATAATGAAAAACTGTTAAAAAGTTGCTTGACAAAACTAAATATATGATTCTTCAAAAAGACCCTTATTTTGACAATTCTGAAAAATCCTACAGAAAAAGAAACAATTTCAATTCAGACCGAAGGGTAAAATGACCCCCAAAAAGAAATACAAAGGAAAAAATCCGGAAGTGACGTCAACTCAGTAGTCACCAGATCGTCACGAATGTGATTAGATCGATGTCAAGGCAAGATGGCGTCTCTTTGGTTGAGAATTACAACCACTTTGCTCCTTGTTTTTGTCGTTAAAAGCACCCCAGAACTTGTGGTGAATGTACGATCCAAAAGTGGTAGCATCACGCAGCAGGAATTCGAGTCGTTTCCAGACAGAGGACTCGTTGCGGTTTCTTACAATCTCTATGATTATCGGTTTGTCGACATTCTTCTGGATTTCAACAAGGTTTGCATTTCTCGATATCTCATATTCATAGCATTAATGATCAAAAATGACTGGTTTCTGTCATTTTACAAAACTTTCAGATTCCTTTTGTGCGAGTTGTAAGACTATAGCTTTGGAAAGTAGTATTTTTGAACCGTTATTTCTGCATTATTTAATAGAAAGCATTCCGAAGGTTTACGATGTAGCTAGCTGTGGTCAGGGAAGAAAAACTTGAAATATTGATCAAGCCGCTCTCGAGATGTTATCAGAAATAGTAATTTTAAAGCTATTATAATATAATTTTCCTTTGAAGACAATGGGAGTTGAAGATTATTCACATATTACACAAACAAGTCATCAAGTTTGACGATGAACCTTATTACTATGGCTTGATTTAAATCAGATACGACATATGAATACATCTAATCTTATATTTTGAGTTTGAAAGTTAGGCTGCTGTACATTGATATTTGCATGATCGAGYTATTGGCATGTTATTTATCTGGAATACCATTCTCTCCCCATTACTATGGAAATCAGCAGATTGGGCCTGGGTGTTTATCGTACCATATGATSATTCCTGGCCAATCATTAACTTAAAAAATAATGCGGTTCAGATAAAATTGACCACAATAGTATTCATTCCTTTATCACCATTCATATCCAGAAGGGATATTAAGGATAGTGAAAATGTTGGGGAGAGGGAAGGCAGTTATTTCAAAATTTTATATTCTCGTACCATCATTATGCACAGGGGAAAATGTAACTGGTTGTACGTTGCACTTGGTCTAAATATGTAGCAGCTTTCTGCTCCTTGCTTTGCAAGCAAACAACCAACAATGCACCCATGCTCTTTTAGKTTGCAATTGATTTTCTGAATTAATCTGATCAATGTTTTATCACCAGAAACTACAGATATTCAAGACTGTCATACTTGGTGAAATAGATTTAGCTGAGAACCCATATAAAACAACATGCTTTGCCATACCATTACTGGACGATGAGTATATATCRCCAGATGTAATGTCCAAGTTGAGACAGGTAGGAAATAGAAGGAAACTATTGGATAGACCATTGCCTACCTTAGTATAATTTTTTTTACCAACCCTACCTTAGGTCATTTGCTTACACATAGGAACCTGCTACACTGTTCATATYATTTTAGCCTTTGTTCAGCTGCACTTCTCTAATATCAGCCCATGACTTAGCCAACTATAATATTTGGATGCACTCATTCTATTTGGGATACATAAGAATTGATGTCCACCCTGAAAATTCTACTGCCTTTCTCCCTCATGCCTAGCAAAGACTGATTTCTTTTTCTTTTTCTTCTTCACAGAAAAACCYCAACACAGTTCGCATACCTGAGATAGACCTAGGGACTCAAGAAATAGTCTTGGACCATTCAGTACAAATATCCAAAGCAAGATACATGAATGAGAACGTCAGGAAATTRTGTGGGGACGTTGATGTAGTACATGTCAGCGGGGAAGACCTCTATTCTCTGTTTGACAGTAAGTTGATACAACATGAGGAAAAATTAAACTGTCAGATAGCTAGATTTTTAGCTTCTTTCCATCAAAATTTACTAATTCAGACTGCCTTTATAAAAGAAATTCCACATTTTGAATTTTTAGGTCACAAAAACATAAAATGTTAGTAATAATACTTAGTTCTCAAAAAGTACAMAACCTGGAGAAACCTGGTAGAAAAGATAACTAATATTATATTAAATCCAATCTTTTCCAGGTAATTCCTCTAAAGCAGTTGACAAAGGAGATGCTGTTCAAAATCTAACAGCTACCCTGGGAACAAAGAAACGCTGTAACATCATCAGTGAAAGCAATAAGCCATGTATCTGTAGATTRCCGCTATGTCTTAGCTGGTATCCATGTGATGTGAAGTATTGCCATAAGGATAGTGTTGATGGCAGCAAACGGGAAGAGTTTCGCTGTGGCATCAAGTCTTGTGGCAAGTGTCGAGATTTTGACTATCTTGTTTCAGGGAAGAGCAACTGCTTTTGGGATGACAGACTGAAGTCCTGACCAAACTATTGATTCTATTAAATGGAAACCCTATATACTATAGGGTTTGAATAGAGAATAAAAGTATATAATATGTACAAAGTCATTTTATAGGAGGATAAACTGTGGGCCACTGGTCCACAAAATTTTCAAAAGAAAGATCAAATGTTTYGTATGAAATTTAATAATTTATGAATTGTAAAAATGTAAAAAAGTATTTTTTATAAATAAGATCCATTGAAGTGAAAAGATTTATCTTGAGAAAATAAACAACATAAACTTCAAATGGGTGATTGTGGTTAGTTTTGTTTTTGCTAAAAAATACAAAAGAACATTTTTAATTCTAAAAAATGAAAAGAATAGAAAAGTGGGTGTGTATTAAACATGTTATGTTATGCTTAAAAAGCCAAACCAAATCACTCTTATGACTACGAGGATCAGATAGAAGGGATCCAGGAATAAGCCTTTTCATAGTTTAAGAATCGATTCCACTGCGCATGCGATTTTATCCCGAATTTCTCACCTTCTTTTGTCCAAACGTTCTTTTGTTCTTAATTAAACAAAAGAAGGTTAGAAATTCAGGATAAAATCGCATGCGCAGTGGAATCGATTCTTAAACTATGAAAAGGCTTATTTGTTAAGGGCGGGTTGTCCCAAATGAAGAARTGTATATAGAGATATTATGCATTATGGAAGGCCACAGATTTGTCAATGAAAACTGTTAGGTGTCACCCTTCTTAAATAAAGTTGTATGTATCACATTATCACATCAAAAAAGATTGAATAGTCACGGCATTAGGGGGTGCCTGGTGCAYTTCAGGACACCCTCTGGATTTGCACCTGCCCCAGAAAGATTTACCAAAATCAAATAGGGAACAATAGGAGYATTAAATCTATGAAAACTGAATCCTGTTGTAAAACCCTGTCTTTATTGATACCATAARTACATGGTGTAATCATTGTTAATCGTATCTTGAATGCCTACATTTTCCATCTGAATGATCACTTATTTAAAGCCCAATTTTAAAGGCTGAATAAACCTCTGGGTTGAGAACGATGCTTTCCTAATTGAAATGTCCTAGGAATACATTTTTTTGTTTACATAGAATTTATTTTAAAGACTTTTATTGTKACTCTGAAACAACCTCTAGSTTGATCACATATAAAATGGGAATTTTGCTCATTAGGTTTTGTAAAGCCAGGTAAACTGAAGAACACAGAAAAACCTTTCAATCAAGGGAAAAAACTAAAAAAAACCTACTCACATATGATGCTGAATTAGGGAATTGAATCCGAGATCCTAGAAAGTGAGAAGAAGCACAATACTGTTATGCCAGGCTTGTTCAATTAATAATGAATAAAGTAATATCACTAAAGGAAATGAAATTCACTGAAATAGAAAAGCATTCTCAATCTGGAGAGTTCCAATATTGCAGTACCTGTAATAAACAAATCAATGATTATTTGAACAAGGTAARACAAGATTTGATAAATGAATTTTCTTTTAAGAAATTGACAATTGTTCTTTCCTTTCTTTAAAAAGTTAAAACTGAAAAGCAAAGCAGTCAAAGCTTGCTCGCTGCAGGAATTATTGAATAAACAAATAATTTATACTTCAATACTTTTAAAATACTTGTTAAAACATTTTCTTATTTGCAAATATCCAATTCCATGTCTTCTCAAACTAATGATTAAGGTTAATAGTTGGAAAACCAAGGATAGAGAATTTTAATTTTGCTACCAGACATACTAGTCAAGTGATTTTACTTGGCATGTGAAACTAAATTGTATATATTAAGAGAGATTAGGAGAGTTACACTCTATTGCCTTCAAACAATAATTGTTGCATTTGGGTCAGTTTTTATGCCTCAACTTGAAACAATCATTTAAAGGCAAAAGAGTGTAACTCTAAGTTCTGCTATTATTGAAACAAAAGAAAACACAGAAATGAGTGTCCACTACTTAAATTATGCATTATGCTTAATATAACTTTTTTATTAGCCAAGTAAAATTACYCTACAGTAACTAAAATATAATACTTTTAGAAAAAATGGCTATTCACCTTGATGGATAGAAGCAAAGAATACAACCATGGCTAGCRTAAGTTGTGAAATCCTACAGGGCCTGGTTGTACGAAGCCTGGATAGCGCTATCCAATGGATAAATCTTATCCAGTGGATAAATTTATTGGTTAACAGCATCGACTTATCCTGACCACTGGATAAGGATTTATCTACTGGATAGTGTTATATCCAGGCTTTGTACAACTGGACCCAGGTGTTCCCTATGCCGCAAATGACCCCCTCCCTCTCCCCCACCTGTAAAGCTTTCTCTCCCCCAATATTCCTATGCTTTTATTCTACTAGTAGTAATACTTAGATAAGATTGTCTATCCTTGGATTTCCAAGGATTGTTAGGATTTTAGGAATTGCTCAATGTACACTCTATATTAATGGCAATAATATCATAAATATATTCCTTTAACACATATTTTTATTCTAATTCTCATTCATGTTGACATCATAGTTATTGTTGTCATGGTGATTCAGTGCAATCAAACCTCGATCTTCTTCCACCCAAGCAACTATTTTACCTTCCCAACCAGGAATGATATCATCATCATTTATTACCTAAAAATAAAATCAATTAATCATTTATAAATTATTAGCTATTGCCATGATTGGAATAGCAAGAATACTGTAAAGACAACCAAAATAAGCATGTTAAATTTTTACAATATAAATTTATATTCTCCTCTCCCACCAAAAATCAACATGAGTTTGGGGTGTAGTATACTTATAGYGCACAGCACCTAACCATGGCCACCCAACTTATTTTTACTAATGCCATTGAATCCTCTCCTGCCAGGTGTTTCAATCAATTAAGACATTTTACAAAAACATTTTCAGTGTTAGACAGCAAAGGGAACAAAATAAGTATCACCTAGGAAATTCCTAGCCATTTATTTAAGTTTTTGTTGCAAAGAGTGGAATAATTTTAAATATTTTATGTCACGTTGAGTGAGTTCTTATGCAAATGCACAAATACTTGCTGCCTGATTAGCTAACTAGTAAAAAAAAGTTGAGTGGCCACAGTTAGRTGTGTAAACATTATCCTCTGTGGGGTATATTATGATGGTTATGATTTGGAATAAAAGATCTCCTTAAGAGGATTTTTAGGTTTTATTGTGAAAAAAAACAACAAAGGTTACCTCTTCTTTAACAGTTCCAAACTCMGGATCAAGAGCCTTGAAGTGAAATCTATAGGGCCCTGGACGATTAAAGAGTGTTTTGAAATCTCTAAGGGYTATGTTACCAAGTCTGGAAAAGAGATAGAAACAAAGGATAAAGGGTTATAAGGGATCAACGATTAGCAAACACCAATTACCATCAAGATTACTTGCTGACAAGCTAGATAAAGTACTGCAGACAAAATTATCCACCTGAACTGTACCCTAAAATGTCAAATACGATATGTATTCTCAGCTAGAACATGAAGAAATTAAAAATGTTTCCAGATGTCAGAGATTCCATTTTGAATGTCATAAATGAACTAAATATAGCTACATAATCTTGACACTTAATGACAAAAAATCAAATGGTATAATAATAGAAATGCCATCATGTCTGCATGAAAAAAGAAAGTGAAAAATTCAATTTTATTTTGATAATTTAGTGTCATGTATGTTCATTTTCAATCTTAAGTCGGGCAAAAAAAGTTTAAAACGTTCAAACCATTTTTATCTTCAACGATTCAGCAGAATGTGTCTGCACTTTAAATCTCTAGATTTCAATTAAAATTTGTCTGAAAAGGTCATCAAGAACATCTAAAGAGTCATTACGAACAGCAATAGAGACGAAATATAAATTGTACAACTGGTTTAGGAATGATGAATAGAATTGAAAAAATGATGGGAAATAGTTATGGGATGGAATGGGAAACATCTAGCATTCATGGCATGCTATTGCTGAATAATAGAAAAGAGTAATGAAAGGTACAAATTATAGTGAATGAATAAAGGGAAAGCAAGTTATAATCTTGCCGAACAAAAGTAATGAATAAAATAAAATAAGTGGGAATGACTGAAAGATTTGAATGGGAAATTAAACAGGTTGTTTTTACTATACTTACTATTTTTTTTAAATATTTACATTTTATCATTTACATTTTACTTGGCTCCTCATTTTTTTCACCTCACTTCTTGGTTTTTGGAAATCACATGTTTGATATATAACTTGATAAAGGAAATAACAAAAAGGGAGTATTGAATCCTTACCTYTTTGGAATGGTAGTCAGGAAGGGGGTCACTGTATCTTCAGTAAAGTAAAGTATTTTGGTGGATGCACCTGAACTGTCCTTCTCAAACAATCTGGAATTATGACCATCTAGTGCGAAAATTCAAAACATTATCTTCAGTTTAAAATATTAACAGAATATTATGTGTTCAACACTAGCTAATAACTGTTAGCAAATACCAACTTGTGTACTTCCTAAGAATGCATGCGCTCATTGGTTAATTGGAGGTGAATATTGTACAATATTCACCTCTGAATCTCAGAATATTGAGTTGGCAACAAAATGGCATCTGCCGGCAATTGTTTTGCTACAATTTCTGATGAGGAAATTGAAAAAATGAAAGTAAATGCCATTCCTATCAATACTAAAAAGGCAACGAAGCATGGACTAAACATTTTGCTAAAAGTTTTGCATGAATTTGTCATGCAAACTAAAAGTTTCTGTTTGTTTTTATTTAATTATTGTATATAAAAATAAGTTACTCTGTACACAAGTTGGTATATGCTAAAACAATTATTCGCCTCAGGCTCAGTGAATATGGCTAATATTTCCCTCGCCGCTCGAAGACTCGCGTCTCGGTAGATATTCCCTGATATTCACCTCGCCTTCGGTGAATAATTGCTAATTAGTTAAGTAATACTATTAACCGTGAACACAGAGGTGCATGGACTGATTAAAATAATGCTTGTAGCCACCCCTCCCCCCACATTTTACAAGAATGACTCTTAGTTTGAGTAAACAGAGATTAGCCCCCACTTTGTAAAGTATGTGTTAGTGCTTCTAAGGTTTTCCTTTTTCCATAAAAGTCTAATTTGATCTGTGAGTTAGCCATGCCCTCACCCCGACTTTGATCAGCCCATAGGTTGTTTCAGGGGAAATAGCTTAAATTTGAAGGATTGTTTTGCTTGCTTATGCTCATGTTGG